GTTTTGAAACTTGCTTCCACCTTCCTACCCTGCAGCCGTCAGTTTCACCCTTCACATTATCTGAATTGCTGTCAGTGTCAGATTTGGTGAGACAATTGCGAATTCTTAAAGGGAGAAATTAGTTAAAAGGGAGTTTTTTCTGATGCTAAAAAATGGCATATAATCAGGAAATGTAGTGCATGATTTAAAAATGAAACAATTAAATGAAGGGATAATCAAATTAATTGGGATTGACATAATGTTAATTGCCATCTTGATAATTCTTGGTTGATCTCTAAAAAGTTGTTCGATATGAGTGCCAAGATACAGGCCTTAGAAAAACTTAATAAAACAGATCATAGAGATATTCAAATCAAGACAGAGGTATTTAAAGGAGGACTAATTTCAGCATTGCCTTACAAGGTTAGAGAGAAACAGACTAAAGATTTCAAACAACCAATCTTGATATATCCAGCAACTTTACAGGAATTGTCAAATGACAGATAATCCCCAAGGCTTTGTAAGAGTTGCCTGGACTCCTGTGACAATGTTAGATTTAAGGAGATTCAAGGAGGCAATAGTCTTACAGGGCATGCAGTCACAATCAGTGAAGCAGATGTTAAACTAATGGTCAGTTTGTAATAGAATTATCCCTTGAGTCTGAAGGGTAACAGCAGTCTTGGAGGCTGGTCCACAATTACAGAGACACACCTAGTGGAAAGATGAGGCTGAGAACAATGAAGAAGGGCTAGACATATAAAAAATCTCCCAAGACTAACATCTTGGAGAAGGAGATTATGCTAATATAGAATGGCAATCCCTGTGTGATGACCACACCCTGACTTTATGCCATGCAGCAGCTTTGAATACTTGGGACAGAACTGAAGAAGTAGGAAAGAAGATTGAGTCATTTACTAAAAGTCATGAAAGGCATGAAGGAAACTTTTATGAATTTTTTTTTACAAACATTGACATCGGCAGTAAATAGTATGATTCCAAATTCAGAAGCTAGACAAATAATAATTTAATCTCTGGCTTTTGAAAATTCTAATTCTCAATGCAAAAGGATAAGTAGACTTTTAAAGGCAAGATCAGCACTCTTGGAGGAATGGATCTGAAATACAATCAATATTGAATCTCATGACCATGATGATCCTTGGATAGGAAAGGTGATTTCCAGAGGTTTGAAGAAAAATTGAAACATCAACTGTTTCAATTATAGCCAACAAGGACACCTTAAAAGGGACTGTAAACAGGGCACTCCTAGAAACAATTTTTTTATAAGCATAATTCAAAGAGAATACCCCTCTCTTCTGGATTATACATAATGTGTGGCAAAGGTAGGCATTGGACTAATGAATGTAGAAAAACAAAGAATAGTCAAAGTAACCCTTTGCCAAAAGGAAACTCCTTGAGGGGCCTCTCTCAAGCCCCCATGCCAAATTCAATTCAGTCATTTCCTGTCATTGTGGAGAAAACTTCTTCCCAGAGCAATTAAAGAATCTAATGCATATTGTAAAAAACCATTCTGCTTTGGATGATAGAATGTCTATAGAAGAGAGAATAAAAATTCAGGAGAAACCATAAAAAGAGTATTTTGGCAAACTTCTCTATATAAACAAAGACCAAAATTAAAAATATGAATAAATGATGTTGTCTTTGAAGGTATGGTGGACAGAGGTGTGGATGTAACAATAATTGCACCAGAGTTTTGGCATTCAAATGGCCTCTTCAGGATGCAAATGTTCAGTTTTAGGGATAGAAAATTTATCTCAGGTAAAATGAAGCATGAGATGGATTGAATGTACAGAGCCAGAAGGACAGAGAAGAAAATTAAAGACATATATGACTCACATAACAATGAATTTGTGGGTATGTGATTTGCTATAGCAATAGAATACTCAGACTAACATTCCACCAGTCTCAGAAACAGACCATAATTTAACATATGCTTCTAGGAAAAATATTAGAAGGTAAAACAGTCACCAGCCATTCATGTTGTTCAAGAAAGGGCACAACAGCTACTGATCTATCAAAGGCATTGACAGCCCTATGTCTAAAATATTGACAGACAAATCTGTAAGTGATACCTAAGGGCCTTTAACAACAGAGAGACTGTAGGCCTTAGAACAATTGGTACAGGGGCAGTTAAATGTTCAGCATATTGAAGAATCAGCAGCTTTTGCAATTCTCCTGTATTTGTTATTAAAAAGAAATCTGGAAAATGGAGAAAGATAACTAATCTAAGAACTGTTAATAAGTTTATTCATTGAATGGACTCTCTACAGCCTAAAATTTCTTTGCCTTCTCTATTGCCTAAAGATGGCCTCATATAGTTATTATATAAATGATTATTTCTTCACTATAACATTACAAGAAAAAGACAGAGGAAAATTTGCCTTCATGGCACCTACTTATAATAATTCTCAGCCTGCTAAGAGATATCAATAGAAGATTCTCCCACAGGCAATGTTTAATATCAGCCATTGAAAATGATATGTAAGCAATTACTGTAGGGATAAGTCCCGCCCCTTAGGGGGCATGTTCGCCTCGGGCTAATGTTTGCCTATAAATTTGGCGAGCGTGCTCCCAGCTGCTGCTTCTGCTTTCCTGGTCTCTGCAGGAACGGTGGTTCTGTAAGTCTATTTCTCCATTAAAGCTATATATATATTTTTACAATCTGTCTGCATTCGTTTACGCCGTTACATTTTGGCGTCCAACGTCGGGCTATTTTGCCCCCGTCTCAAGCACGTAGCCCGCTAGCTAAAACAGCACACTCCCGGGTGCTATTTTTAGTTCGTGACTCGGGCCCCAGTGCCGAGTCTGAGACACACTCGGCCACACAGGCCCATTCTGCGTGCCTTGGCTAAGTTTGCAGCGAAACCCCACTGCCTGAATTAGCAGAAGCTCAAGTACCTGCGGTTTTGCAACAAAAGCCGCCACAGTGGTAGATTTGGTCCGATACAAAGTGACTTGGCCGGGCGGTAGTGGCGCATGCCTTTAATCCCAGCACTTGGGAAGCAGAGGCAGGCGGATTTCTGTGAGTTCGAGGCCGGCCAGGCGGTGGTTGCGCACACCTTTGATCCCAGCACTCGGGAGGCAGAGACAGGTGGATCTCTGTGAGTTCGAGGACAGCCTGGTCTACAAGAGCTAGTTCTAGGACAGGCTCCAAAAACCCAGAGACCACCACTGGCAGGAACCGATCATTGCAGGTAAAAAATTTTTCTTTTATAAATAAAATATCTGAACATGTCAAGAGACGTAATTTGGGGTCTTGTTGGCATTCTCTGTGAGTTGGCTAGGTGAGGTGAAGTTGGGACCAAGCCCACTGGGGTTGCCTGGAGCCAAGAGCAGGAGATGCCCCTCACCCAGGCTGGCCACTGTGGGCTAAGCTGAGGAGGCAGGAATGGGCTGCAAGGCTGAAAATACTAGGGAGGCGCTGTCCTCCTGCATCCCTGTTGTTCTGTCCCAATTGTGGCACAGGGAGAGCCAGGCTGTCTGAGACACTCCTGATGGGGGATGGGCAAATGCAGCCACCTTCCTCCATTTCTCATTCTCCTGTGGAAGGATCACTACCATGTCCACCCCTCAGGTGGTCCCTCTGGAGGACCCTGCTGTGGCCACACTGTTCCCGGTATCTGGCACTTGCTTCCTGTGTGCAGGGCTGGGACATTTATAAGATATGTCTCCCTACCCTCCACCCCCTGGTTCCTAGCTGTCACTTAGACTCGGCTAGGGGATTGGAGGAGGCATTTTCCCATTTAAGACAGATAAGTAGACATTTGTCCTGGAGACAGCCTGGCATCACCCTGGCCCTGGTGGGAATCAGAGGACAAGGGACAAACACCGCCCATCCACAGTCCACCCATTGTGTGGCGAAGGTGAAGATTCTGGAAAATTGGTTTCTGGGTCAAGGGCTTGCTAACCCATCCCTTCCTGTCCCCATCAGGACCCTGTTTCTATTGCATTTGGGAGCATCAGACATCAGGAGGCAGAGTGGCCTGACCTTTCCTGGGGAGACGTGAACAAATGCTGTTCAACCCAGACAGGGCACAAAGACTGAACAAGGAAAAAATGCCTAGTCTAAGTGGTGAGCTAATGGGTTTATTGGGGTTACTAATGGCATGAGTTGGGGGTTGCAGGGTGTGGGTGACCCCCAAGCACTGCATTATCAAAAAGCCTCAGCCTTCATCGGTGCTGAGTCAGGAATGCTGTACCCCTGCACTTCTCACTCACCCTTCCCGCCCTAGGCGCTACCTCCTGAGGGAGTGGGTGGAACCATAGGCGAGGCTTGGGGTCCTTCCTGCTCCTTCTACGTCCCTAAGGCCCAGGTATCACTTGTTTTGCTTATGTCATTAGCATGGCTGTGGACCCGGGTATTCTGTAGCCAGCATCACAACCTCTGCCCCATGATGGCCATGGTCACATTACACGGGGAACATATCTGGACCACAACTGGGGGGGGGGTCTCTACAGGTGGAGGGATACCAGAGAGGAGCGTGGCTTCTTGGCAGGGCTGGGCTGCTGCTGGGTGTGGCTGTGGGGGTGGGGGCAGGGCACAGTGGGTGCTGAACAGTAGACTGGCAGAGCCTGAGATGTCTGGATCCTCGGGAGCCTAGCATGGGAGTCAGGGACACTGGGTGATCAAAGCAGAGGTCAATGAAGCTCCACTAGGTGGGTAAATCGGGGAGGGATGACAGGGTGGTGGGTGAGCAGGCAATCAGATGGGAGACGGTGTGAAGAGGGCACACACAGATACACATACATATACACACATACATGCATATATATATACATGTGCACATACACACAAACATACATACATGTACACATAAAGTCACACACAGTCACAATCTAAGATGCATAGACACACATACAAACACACATGCAGACACAGATGCACACCAACAGATATACACAGAACACATGTAGACACAGACAAACACACAGACATATACACATGCAGACACACAAAGACATATATGCATGCAGACATACACAGACACACAGACACACACACACACACACACACACACACACACACACACACACACATCTGGCCCAATACTCCAAGTCTCCCATACTGAGGGCTGGTGTCATTTTCTCTCAGCTGATGTGACCACTGATCTTTCTGGACGTCATACAGAAGCCTGTGGGAAGGAAGACATGCTGGTTACCTTAGCATTTCTGCAGCGTTGAGACCACACACGTACAGATCCTCAGGGGCCATGGGTGGGTCCCGTCCCTCAAGAGGACCATGTCTGCTCATGACCATGTCCTCCCCCAAAGGATGCTCTTGTCTACCTCACCTGCCTCTCACCTTCACCAGCCACGGCTTGATGGGGGTGCCGTCCTTGTCCATGCAGCACAGGGCAGATGTGCAGGCTGCAGCCTCCTGGGCAAGCAGGTCCCAGCGGGCATTGCGGCCCAGGTTGCCTGTGGGGTCAGCTGGATCCAGGATGATGGGTCTGCAATTGTACCCAAGGTCAGTCTCATCCCCCACAGCATCCACCTGCGACACTGGCTGGGCTGTTCTCCACTCCCTAACACTACAGGGGCCAGGGCCAGGACCTCGGGGCTCCTCAGTGCCCCAGGTACACACTCTAGGGCAGGGGTAGAAGAGAAGAGGCATATGGTGTGGGGTGTGGTGGCAATGCCTGTAAACCTAGCACCCTGGAGGCAGAGGCAGGGGGATTGTGAGTTTGGAGCAACCTGGGCTACACAGTGTATTCTAAAGGGTTGGGGGTGAGGGGACTGGTGAGATCTCTCAGTGGTTAAGAGCACTGGCTGCTCTTCCAGAGGACCGCTCACAACCTCTGGAACTCCAGTTTCTCCATGGGCACTGCACACACAGTGCACATACATATACGCAGACAAAACACGACACACATAAAATCCTTAGAAGGGAAGGAAGGAAAGAAGGAGGGAGGGAAAAGCGGCTGCACAAGTACCACTTCTTCAGGCTGTGTTCATTACTAACTACTCACAGGGCTGCCCTTCCTCCTTGAAGCAGGCATTGCTAATCGATTACAGCCCTGATTCTGCCACTGCCCCTCCCAGCATCCACGGCAGACATCATCAGCTAATATATATCATACACCAGACCCTTTCTCAGGAAACACTGCCACTGCCCGCAAACGTTCAGTGTAACGTGCGTTTTGGGGACAATCCTGCTTATCTCTGTCCCCATTTCAGAGGTGGGCGTGACGGTGAAGAATGACACGTGCTTCTATAACCCGAAGGCTGCTGATGAGAAGCTGCCAGGTGTAAAGAGTGCGAACACCAGATGCCCAGTTACATCCTAGTTTCCGAGGAATCACGAATGCGCTTGAAGTTTGAGGCGGGATTCTCATGATGCAGCCCAGGCAGGCTTTGAGCTTGAAGCCCTCTACCCCTAGCCTCATGCTTTCATTTCATTCTCTTATGTGTACCAGTGCTTTGCCTTCATGTGTGTCTGTACACAAACATGTCTAGTGCATGGAAGCCATAAGAGGGCGTCAGACCCCCAGGAACTGGAATAGGTAGTCACAAGCAACTGTGTGGGTTCTGGGAATGGACCTAGGTCTCTGCAAGAGCAGCCAGTGCTCTGAACTGCTGAGCCATCTCTTCATGCCTCTAACTCAGCCTCTTGTTGTGATTACAGATGTGTGTCACGGCATCTGGACACTTTTTTTTGGGGGGGGGGGGACAGGTCTCACATAGGCCAGGCTGGTCTTGAACTGGTTTTGTAGCCAAGGATGACTCTGGACTCCCAGTCCTCCTCCACCTCCTCATGAGTATAAGTTTTCACAGCGGTGAAAGACCCAGTTCATGCAGTGATGGGGATGGACGCTGGGCAAACCCTCTGTCAGCTAAGCCATGTCCCAGCTCTCACATTAAACATAAAAAGCACATGTCTGGCCCAAATCTTGCATGAGAGCCACTCAGACTAGCATGCGATCTGATTTGTCTGTACTTGAGTTGAACTTGGAGTCTTGCATCTATTTTATCTGACAACCACATTTACAGGTGGCCAAAAAACTGACTGACTCTCTCCTCAGGCACTAAAAGTACCACTCTGGGAAGTTGCCCAGTTCCCGAGAGCAGGCCTTGCCCTTCCATCTTCTGCCAATAGGGAGGCAGGAAGTGGATATTGGGGGTCTGAGGTAGAGGAGTCTGGGGGTGGCCAAACCTGGGCTTCTGAAGTTGCAGCTTCAGGAAGTCACCCATGGCTTTGTCCTCAGCGTTGTAGTTGACGGTCCAATAGATGCACAGTTGGCGGTACTGGCCAACCAGCTCCAGCACAGTGCGGAAGCCCTCCGCCATGTTGAACTGGGGATTCTGGCTGCCCTGCTCCCAGGCGTACACGGTCAGGAGCTTCAGCCCATGCTGGGGTGGCAAGGAGCCCTTCCCCTGGACCATCTTGTTGCACTGGGGAAGCAAGAGAAAGGAGATGTGCTGGTTCATGTTGGCAACACAACAGCTAATGCCTCCCCGGTCAGAGGGGCTCCAGGGATTGACAGGTGCACCCCTAAAGCTTAACCGAGAACCATTGTGTGCCAGGCTACTGGCCAGGAATCACCCTTGGCACAGAGACACAATGTGTTAGCTCCACTCTTGGGGGTATGTGTTTGTGTGCTGGGGGTGGGGCTCGGGCTCACGCATTCCAGGCAAGGCTCTTACCAGCCCCTCTCCATGAACTGCACCCCAGCATGCCAGTTACTTATCATTTTGAGACAGGTTCTTGCTGAGTTGGCCAGACTATCCTTGTGCTCACTCTGTCGCCTAGGCTAGCCCTGACCTTTCAATCTTTCTACCTCAGCCTCCTACATAGCTAAGATGAGAAGCCTGCACCAGACCTGGCTCGATCCTGCTTTATGGACACGCAAACCAAGGTCCTCTGGGTGGAATGTGACTGACCTCACACACTTGCTTGTGGCCAAACACACACCCCTCTTTCTAGCCCCCCTCCGCTCCCACCATCTCCTCCAAGGAAAGTACTCAGGACACAGTTCCTGGGACCCAGCATCGCTGTGAGCGTGCGTGTGGGAATTAGGGTGACGGATGGCCCCTGTGCCTAACCTGTTGGTACCAGTGCTTCACCAGCCGGATCAAGCTCTTGAGTTTGGTGGGACGGGTGCTAATGAAGTCACGCTGCAGCTCCCTGAAGCAGGTAGAGAACTCGCCTGCGTTGCTGTAGCTGTGGATTAGGTCCTTGTAGACCTGGGGATCAGGCCTTGAGCCGGGCCTCAGCTGACCTGTACAGTGGGAAAAGGTTAGAGTCGCTCTGTCGTCTAGGGAGCCCGGGTGAGCCAGCTTACAAAGCTGGTCTGAGAGACCCGTAGTATCCCTTGTCTAAGGGTGACCTGAGACCCACTGGGAGGTCACCAGCTTTTGGTGAGGGCATAAGTGTGGCATGGTCCATCTTAAAGCCCTCATGAGAGTGGCGTTCCCTGCCCAGCTTTTTTCCAGCCACCTGCTTGCCCACCATAGAGAAAGTCTTGGCTGAGAGTCAGCCTAGGGTGTGGCGCCTCTAACCTCCTCTCAGCCCGCTCAGGGAAAGGGCTCCAGTGGTCATTAGACAAAAAGCCTTCTTCAGACGCCAGGGCTGCAGGGGGCAGGGGACCACGGCTGGCTCTGAAGACCTAACCAGAAGCAGACCAGACCAGTCCATGCAAGTAGATGCCCACACAGCATCTAGATGCCTGTCTGTCTCACTCAGCATGTGGGTGCTCCAGGGTAAGATTCACACCCAGGGCAGAAGACTGAGGTGCCTACTTAACATATCAAAGTGGACCGACCTCCAGGTTCTCCAAGAATCCCCAGTTCCTACTTGTTGCAGGGTATGGCTGGCACACCCCACCCTCTACCCTGAACTCGCCAGCCCAGGGGACTGGGACTGTCCTTCCCCTCGGGGGGCTCTTCCCTGAATAATCCAAACATTTTGTTTACTTTTTTGTACCTTTGGTGTCCTGGCTGCTGCACCTGACTCCCCTGTCCCTGTCTCTTCCCTTCCCTCTCTCCCCACATGGCCCAGTTCAGCCTGGTCAAGTCCACTCGGGCCTCTCCCAGATGTCCCTGTCTCTGACTGTGTTCTCCCTTTTATCTACAATAAACTTTCTCCTTCCCCATACCTAGGAGCAGCCATGTCCTTTCCTTTCCTTTCCTTTCCTTTCCTTTCCTTTCCTTTCCTTTCCTTTCCTCTCCTCTCCTCTCCTCTCCTCTCCTCTCCTCTTCTCTCTCTCTCTCTTTCTTTCTTTCTTTCTTTCTTTCCTTCACTGGCAGCTGAACTTGGGTCCCGTGGCAGGCTGAATGAGAAGTCCCCTCACAGGCTTATATATTAAAATGCTTGGTCACCAGGTGGTGGGACTGTTAGGGAAGGATCAAAGGTGTGGTGTTGTTGGAGGAGGCTTTGAAGTTTAAGACACCCACTCCAGTTCCAAGCTCCCCCATGCCTAGAAATCAGAATGTAAACTTTCAGCTGCTTTTCCAGTATTGTCTGCTGCCATACTTCCCTCTATGATGACAATGGACTAATTTTCTGAAACTGTAAGCAAGCCCCCAATTAAATGCTTTTTTTAAAAGAAGAGCTGCCTTGGTCATGGTGTCTTTTCATAGGAACAGAACAGTAGCCAAGACAGGTCCTCTGCAATAGCAGTACGCGCTCTTAATCGCCTGGCCAGGACCTCAGCCCTTCCTCACCCAGCATCTTTGTGGGAAACAAAAGTGGGGCCTTGCCACATCTTCCATGCCTGTGACATGGATAGGACCGTGCCTGGAACCACTCTGCCTGTGTCCAGGAGCCTCACCGAGGGCGTCAAAGGCCGGCAGCACGTCAAAGTCCACGCTCTGGTCCAGCAGTGTCTGGGATGTCAGGGAGAAGCTGAGGACTCGGGGATTCTTCCTGTTGGAGATCTCAAACTTGACATCGAACTTCTGCTTCTGCTGGCACGCCTCCAGCTGTGCCCGGATCTCTGAGATGACCTCTGCCCGGTGGCTGCCTTGCTCAGAGAACTGGCGGAAGCAGCTGAGGAACACCACAAGGTCGGCATCCGAGCGCCCTTGTAGAGCTGTGCCTTTGGCAGAAGAACCGCCCTGGGGAGGACAAGGAAGGTGGCTTGAGCCCTGAGTGCCCTTTGATGTCCCACAGACTGTGTGTGTGTGTGTGTGTGTGTGTGTGTGTGTGTGTGCTTGCGGAGGTCAGAGGTTGACACTGGTGTTTCCACCAATCTCTATTATTATTATCATTATGATTTTGAGACAAGGTCTCACTGAGCCTGGAGTTCACCAATCTAGCAGTGCTGACTGACCAGGGAACCCGAGGGGTGGTCTTCTCTCTACTCTGGAGTTTGGGTATCACAGACAGTCTCCATGATGCCAAGTTCATGCAGTGCTAGGGTTGGAATTCAGGGATTCCCGTATGCCAGTTAAATTCTCTGCCAGCAACGTGCCCTCCAAGAAAGAGAATCCCCCTTTCTGGAGGCTTAGCACTCCCATGGGCTGCCACATAGGAAGACAGACACAGTCAAGCCAGTTTTGTAGATTTGTATGGAAATCAGATGACTGAGTGTCATTAGGGTTGTTGATAAATTTCTTGTGTTTTTAGTTTAAAAAGAAAGATAAAGGCAGATCCAAGAACCAGAGAGAACAGCCAGCCCTGGTACCCTGTGGATGTCTCTGGATCACGCTGTGCCTGTAAGCACACCGCTCTCCAGCTGAATCAGCCACCTTGTTCCGTTGCTGTAGACATGGACATCACTGGAGCGCACGAGGCAGCTGGAGAGGCGTCCAGCCCACAGGAGTCTCCTCACCTGCAGCTTTCCAGGCCTCACCTTAACCACCTTGAGCACCTTGATGGGAGAATTCCGGAAGCAGTTTTCCTTCAGGAAGGAGCATATGGTGTCTACGGCTTTCTTTACTTGATCCAGGAAATGGCGGTTGGGCTGGAGGAATTCACTGATGAACTTGTCCAGGTCCCCAGCTGGGGTCTGGAGAAGAAGGGCTGGCTGTAGAAAGCAATGGGCAGTCCTGGCTGAAGCAGGATGCCGGGGAAACCCACGTGTCGGGTTTCAGCATTCCGTGCTGCTCCCATGGTCTCCCAAGTCTCCTGCACCCACGGTCCTTCCCCTCTGATTAGTGTGTCCTGAAGTAGCACAGCGGGGCCTGAGCTCCAGATCTGTTTCTACCACTGACACGGAGCCTCAGTTTCCCCTCCCCATCTCAGTGGATCTTGTGTGTTAAGCCAATGGAGTAAGATTGTATTGGCTGTGGCCTAAGTTTGATTTGTTTTTCAAAGATTCATGCATTGCATGCTGGGTCCTCAGTGGGGAGGGGGGTGCCTTTAAGGTGGAGCCTTGCAGAATGTGCCTCAGGGTGGAGTTGAGATAGTCCTCAGGGAATCCTGAGTGAATTCTGACAGGGAGATGTGGCAAGAGCCAGCCTGGCCCTACGTAGCCCTGTGGCATCTTGTCTCGGAGCGTGATGCGTTCCTTTGGCACACGCTACCCCAGCAGCGACACTGGCCATCGTGCCAGTGCCATCACCTTGATCCACCTTCCCTAGAGAGCTGCCTGGCTTCAGGTCTTTTCTACAGTCACAGAAATGGATTAAGACGGTAGCTGCAGGTGGCTTATGTCTTGGGTTTTCTTCTCCAAGTGCAAAGCCCAAATACTTAACTAGGGCCTTATGTAGAGATGGGACACGGGGAGGATGCTGCTCAGTTTAGTTTTGTCATCTTGACAAGAGCCACAGTCATCTGGGAAGAGGGAACCTCAGCTGAGAAAATGCCACCCTGGCATTGGCCCGTAGGCAAGCTTGTGGGCATGTTCCTGAGTAATGATTGACGTGGGAGGACCTAGCCTGCTGGAGGTGGTGCCACCCTGCACAGGCTGTCCTGGTTGGTCTGAGAAACCACAAGGAACAAGCCAGTGGGCAGCATTCCTCTGTGGCCTCTGCCTCAGCTCCTGCCTCCAGGTTCCTGCCTCGTCCTCCCTCAGTGGTGGACGGTGAAGTGCGAGTGTGAGCCAAATGCTGTCCCCTCCTCGGGACGCTGTTGGCCATGGGGTTTATCCCAGCACACAAAGCCAACTATGACAGTGAGGCAGCAGAGGGTGGACGGGGTGAGAAACTGGGCTTCAACCAGGCACAGGCTTGGGCCTTAGGGAGCTCGGGGGTGGGGACTGAACCCCAAATAAAGGCAGTTCATTGTTTCTGAGTGTCACCAGGGCACGGGCTGAGGTCAGTGCTCCAGAGGAAGGGCAGCTGTCACCGTCAGCATTCCTCGAGACTGGGGAGGTGCATCCTAGCATCAAGAGATATGGAGGGGAGACTACAATGCTCACCACCCCAGTGAACCCACCACCCCAATGTCCTGTCTCCTTAAAAAATGAAAAACATAACATTTATTATGTGGCATACGATGCTCGCACCAGGTGTGCGTGTGTGTGTGTGTGTGTGTGTGTGTGTGTTTGTGCGCAGCAGATCATCTGTGAAGGTCAGAGGACCACTTGGTGGGGTCAGTTCCCTCTTTCCACCTCCACTTGGGTTCCGGGAATAAACTTAGGTTGTTGACATTGTAGTGAAGGTCTTTCCCCGCTAGGTCATCCTAGTGGCCCCAGGGCACCATCTCTTACCATCACATCCCAGGGTGGTACAGGAGTCCCATCTCTGCTCTGAAGGCAAACTTGTGACTCCAGAGCTGCTGCCTCCCGAGCTAACAGTTCCCAGCTGCCCTGGCCCACATTCCAGGTGGGGTCCGCAGGATCCAGGATTAGAGGCCTGGGGACAAAGCAGATGGAGGTGGGGAGGTACAGTCAGCGATGAGCAGCTGGGAGGGGCCAAAAGGAACATTAGATGGAGTCCAAGCCAACTGCCTCAATCAGAGAACTCTTGGGCCAATTAACTCTAATGACGTTTAACTGTGCTAATCACAAGGGCTCTGGAGTCCTTTGGGGCGTCCAATGTACCTGCTTCCTCATCGGAATGCAGAGGCAAGTGGGGAGGGTGGGATAGGTGAACCAAAGCCCACCATGGCTCCTCCCGGGTACCCAGACTCCAGGAGGGAGGCGGAAGATGGCATTGAGGTGGGCACTGGGGAAGTATGCACCTGGCTTTCTGAAGCTGGCTGAGAAGATGCGCTCTGAGGGCCGGGTCCTGTATGCTGTAGTTGACTGTCCAGTAGACACAGAGTGACCGATACTGCTGGACCAGCCTCAGGACGGTCCGCAGGCCTTCAGCCATGCTGAACCCTGTTTTCCGACAGCCTTGTTCCCAGACAAAGATTGTCAGGAGCTCTAGGGCATAGGCTGGGGGCAGAGCAGCACCTGCTGCCTCTCCTCCTTTATCTCGAGTGGCAACCTGTCATCCAAGCAGAGATCAGTCAGGGTGGCCACCTGGAGGCTGGTTCTTGGGACTTAGGAAGAGGCAGGGGGTGTGTAAAACAGAACCTCAGAAGGACCGGGTTGCAGAGACTCCCTGGATGATACTTTGTGTTTTACAGATTGGGGAAACTGAGATCTGGAGGGGGCTTGTCACTTGTCCCAAGTCAGACCGTGAGTTAGGGAGCTCAGATTTGGGTGAGACCTCCCTCAAGGAGTGTGAGGAGCTGTATGGGAATGGGGGCTGCAATCTGTCCATCATAGTATCTCATCACCCTCAGGCGGCAAGCGTGGGCTCTGGCAGGTGTGTGTCGAACACACAGTGGTTGTGGACTAAGGTCCACCTACAGGGCTGCTGCACTGACCAGAACGCCTGCGACTCCGAGGAGGTTGCAATGCTGCAGGTCCAGAACCAGGGTTTACCTCTAGCACCCTTGCCCAACTCTGGGTCTGACTTGGCATCCTTATGACTGTTCCACAGAGCCTTTCGGGATGTGTTGATTTAACAGCTGGCTTCCACCAGGCCAAAGGCTAAAACTGTTATCAATAGCATAGGAGGCTATAGCAGAGCTAACCCTGTTTGCTGTTACCCACCGCTGTATTTCAGAACTGTTTGATTTATGCCTTTTATTTTCTTTTTGTAGTATTTTTGAGACAGGGTCTCTCTATGTAGTGTCACTCACAGAGATCTGCCTATCTCTGCCTCCTGAGTGCTGCATTAAAGGTGTCTGTCACCACACCTGGCTTAGACTTTCTTTATTCTGTTCCCATGAAACTGTCCCCATGGAACCTGGAATTTGGTGACCTGAACCTGGTTGCTCGTATTCCAGTCTAGGTTATACTAACTTTTATCCCCTCTGAGGGGAGAGCTGCTGGTTTTTGTTCTTGTCAGTGGCATGAATGCGAGATGGCCTTCAGAAGAGAAGGTTCTAGAAGCTGCCCAGGGTGCAGCACAACTTGAAAAGAGGCGGTGATGGGGACCATCGTAGGCACTTGGCGGTGACGACCGTGACAGTGGCGGCTTCCCGGGAGGTGTAAGGTGCTTACCTGGTGGTACCAGTGTTTGACCAGGACTTGACGGGGCGATTGTTCACAAAGTTCCTTCGCAGCTCTGCAAAGGAGGCTGCGTGCTCCCCGGCCTGGCAGCCACTGCTGAGGAGGGAGGAGTACACCTGCGGCTGAGGTTTGTCACCAGAATTCAGCTGCCCTACAGAAGTAGAGAACGTGAGTGAGTCGCCAGCCCACCCATGCACGGTTATTGGTATAATTAAGTTCCGCATCCATGACTCAACACCATCGCCAGCCGTGAGCTAAACATCAAATAACGTCAGAACTAGTAACCTGTCTTAGCATCGATGCAAGATGTTACCCAGGCTGACCTGGAACTTACAGCAATCCTCCTGCCTCAGCCTTCCACGTGCTGGGATTGTAGGTATATGGCACCTGGTTCCCAATTTTCACTACCTCTCCCTAACTCTGCAATGAGTTCTGGAGTTAGACAGGCCTGGGTTCGAATCCAGACTGCGTGTAATACCTCTTTGGGTCTCGGCTTTCTCACCTGTAAAAGGGGTTCGTGAGGCTGGGGAGATGGCTCAGGGGATGAGAGGAATGACCCATCTACATGTAGAGCTCAGTAACAACTCACAGATGAAGTGGTTCCCCACGATAGAGGGGGGTGTCGCAAGGATGGGGGATTTAGCTCTTTAATGACTTGAAACGGGACTGGAGAGATGGCCCCAAAGCTAAAAACACTTGTTCTGGTAGAGGACTTGGGTTTGATTCCTGGTGGCTCACAACCTTCTGTAACTCCAGTCCTGGGGCACCTGGCAGTCTCTTGTGGCTCCTACAGGTACTGCAAGCATGTAGCACACAGGCAAATGCTACCATATACATAAAATAAAAATTAAAAAGAAACAACAATTCGAAACTATACCTACATTTACACACCTATGATCCCAGAAGACTTGGGAAGCTGAGGCAGGAGGATGGCATATTTGAAACCAGCCTGGGTTGCATATCAAGATCCAGTTTAAAATAAAATGAGTAGAGAAATTAAGAGATGGGGCAGATGGTCTGAGGGCAGAGAAGAGAGAAACAGGGAGACAATATTGAAACAGCTGCATGGGTGACTGGTTCTGGGGAAGGTTTGCCTCAAGATTTCCCAGAGAGATTTTCAGTGCTTGGTGAATCCCAAGGAATACGGCAGGTACCCCTGTTCCATGGCCCCTGGATCCCTGGGGTCCCACCACTCTCTTACCCACAGCATCAAAAGCAGGTACCACACTGATGTCTGCCCAGCTGTTGAGGTCTGTGGACACCAGCTGGAGCTGCAGAGTGCTGGGTCTATTCTGTTCAGTGAACTGGAGGCTCAGTCCATGCACTGGTTCCTGCCACCAGGACTGCAGCTGGGTCCGAATGTCACACAGGATCTCTGCTTGTTGGGACCTTTGGCCCTTGAAGTCCCTGAGGACTTTGTAAAAGATGACAAGCTCCACATCGCAGTCACCCCTGAGGTCCGTGCCGCGGCCAAAAGAGCCGCCCTGTGGAAGGAAGTGCAGTCAGACCTTGGACTCTCCAGGAACCCTAACTGTCCAGGAACCTGGGAGTTATGCCAGCATCCCCTGCAGTGGCCTAGGATGTGGCTTTTGCTGATGTTGGATCTGGACCTCAGCCCAGACCTGGGGCCCAACCCTGAGGAGTTTCAAGAATTGAGTTGTATTAGTGGGACCTGCCTCCAGGTCTGCTGTCATGCCCATAGGCCAACACAATGTAGAAAATCCCTCACTGAAAATATATGAAAAACCAAGCATAAAATAAATTTTAAAAAAGAATAAAGAGACAACAAAACCAAAGCAAAAACAGTTACTTAAACCTACAGTGTTCCTCAGCTCAGCTGGCTTGGCTTTGGATGGCCCAGCAGCATGGCCACCATGCTAGATTAATGTGCCCAGCATTGGCTTCTGAAAGCATGGGAACACAGGGAGGGCAATCCAGGCTAACCATGACATAGGACATGTGGGAAATACCTAAAGTTATAAACGTAGTTTTGATTTGCAGTATTTCCGCTTGGATTAGGGTGCAGCTCCACTTTAAGCGGAAGGACGACTTTCTGTCTACATCCAGCCGGCAAACCACACCTCCAAGGATATTCAGCTTCCCTGGATATCCTCAGCTCTGTTGCCTCCCTGCCCACCGTGATTCCCTGGGGGCATCCCAATGGCACCTTCACCTTAGGACTCACCTTGCTGACCCTGGAGGCTTTGTGCTCACACTTCTCCCGGAGGCAACGCAGGATGGTGTCAATGGCCTGTCTCACCTGCTGCTGGAACTGGGGACTTGGTCTCAGGTGGTTCTGGATGAAGGAGTCCAGCTCCTTGCTGGGGATCTGTGACAGATGTGGGCCCATCACTGACCCAGCGGTGGAGGTGCTGGCTGGAGGCACACTTAAGGATGGAGTGGTCTGGGTGATGGAGACTTTTGACACTGTTTCAGGGACAGTTCTTTGAGGTGCTACCTTTTCGAGGTTCTTGCTGATTTTATAGGCTGTTGTGTTTAGCATGGCAGGGGCTGGAGCTGGATTCAAAGGCTGCGGGCTGACTCTTGGACACACAGTGTTGTGGTCTGGGTTGTCTTGTTGGATGGGGTGGCCCAAACCCAAGATGCCAGCACATGGCAGGCCCTGGAAGGGGGTGACTGAGCCTTATCAGCCAGAACTGAGGTTTGTCTCGGCACCCAGCCTTTCTCTCAGTCCCTCTGACCACAGCTGAGGTGACTGAGGCTTGGGGAGGGGAGAGAGTCAAGGGAGATGTGGGTCTTGGTGTAGAGCAGGACAGATGCCCAGATGGGGAGATAGTTGTTAGAACTTCTAGGTGGACAGACATACCCAGAGAGAGGGGGACACCACAGACAGCCCCAGTGCTCTTCCTCCAAACCCGAGCTGGGTGATACTCTTATTGCCCCAACTGTTAAACCCTACAGCCCTGGGCCCATTAGCATGAAGCCTGAGGACCCTGGTGTTCTCTCACTCACCGGCCCCTCCCAAGGCTGCTCAGGGGCTCCAGAGGGCTGCCGGAAGCATTGCTGATTAAGGCAGGACTCAGCCTCCTTGGCCAGCACATCCCAGCGCCAGGCTGTCCCGTTGCCCACGTCCCAAGTTGGGTCAGCTGGATCCAGGATCACGGGCCTGTAATTCCAGAGAGAACAAGGCTCTGAACAGTGACAAGGGTCAGAGTTAGGGCAGACCTGGTGCTGCTCACTCCGGTTTGTCCTTTTAGGTTTCATGTCCAGGACAGAGACCTCCTTCCTGCAGCCCGGGGCTTTTCATTTGTGTAAGGGTGACATGGCCTGCTTTGCTGGAGCCAGGTCCAGAACTCGTGTGGCGGTTTGAATGAGAACTGTCCCCCACAGACTTACATATTTAAATACTTGGTTCCCAGTGGGTGGAGCTATTTGGGAAGGATTGGGAGGTGTGACCTTGTTGGAGGAGGGGGTGTCACTGGGACTGTGGGCGGGCTTTGGGATTTCAAAAGACTCTCCCCTTCCCATTCCCAGTTAGTCCCCCGCCCCCGCCCCCCCCCTACTGTTCCAGCACCTTGCCTGTCTGTCTGCCTGCCTGCTCCCACCCTCTGGAATGTGATCCCCAATTAAATGCTTTGCTTTATAAGCTTGTGGTGTCTCCTCATAGGAGATAACTAAGACACCCAGCTGCGCACCAGAGGTACAGCACAGCAAACAGGGGCCGCCCCCAGGGACTCTAGTTCCCACCCCATGATTTGCAATATGGGCTCCAGGTATGTGCATTCATTTGGCTCATATACATACACCGATGCACACACAAGTGTTCATAATCCCCAAGTCCCCAAG